ATATGAGAAAAGGGGCTTTAAAAAGTCAGCAAATACATTTCAGTCTTATGTTATCTTGACTGAATATTAAATGTTCATTCACGTAACATAAAGTTGCTCCAGTCAGAGTCATTTTGTACCACAGTCAACGATACGATGTGACTAATAAGTGAACAAAGGACTGGATCCAGTTTTAACCTTCATCAGGATTAACCCCGCTTTCATTACCATGAGCTCAAACAAACATCTCATTAAAGACACAGCAAGTTTCCATCACGGCTGTTGTCTTCACACTACAAAGAGCCTCTGGAGCGTTCTAACTCTCAAACAGTGCGCCCTTTGAAGTCTGCTATTATGCCAGCTTTGTTTCTTGAAAACTGAAATAAGTGAGTCGAGTGAACTCTCAGCAGTGCGTTCATTAGAAGAACTGACGTGTGCGAACGAGTCAGATTAGCAGGATTTAATGTTTTAAAATCTACTTCTTTCATCGCTGCCTATGACGAGAGAGAGAGAGAAAAATCCTATCTTTGTGTTTGAATGACAGGAAGGAGAGGCTGACATCATGAGCCGGGTCAGAGATGGACTCAGATCTGCATGTCTGAGTGTGTCTGTGTTTGTATTTGGTGGAGGAGCTTGTTTGTGTGTGCTGATGTTTGTGCCTGTGATCCGTAGCACCACTGCTGTTTGCAGTGAAGCATGTATTAGCATGGGACTGGAAGAGGAGGGGAGTGTCTCGCTCTGTGTGTGTGTGTGTGTGTGTGTGTGTGTGTGTGTGTGTCTGAGTGTGTGTGTGTGTGTGTGTGAGTGTGTGTGTCTGTGTACACTGATTGACGTCACAGACGCCCACTCATTTCCATCTTGTCTGCGTGCACGGAGAGAATAGATCCCCATCTGCATCCAGCTCTTCTTCTTCTTCTTCATCCCCCCTCCTCCTGCAAGCTTCCTCTTCTTCCTCACCTCCTAGTACTTTCTCTTCCTGCCTCTTCCCATTCACTCTTTGCACATCCCACCCCCATAAGAGTGCAGCCAGTCTAGCAGATAAACAAAACCAGTTTAAGACAGCCAGACAGCAGCTTCAGCAGCAAGCAGCATCCTCTCAGAACAGCAGAGCCTCGCCTCTAAACATCTGCTCATTTCAAGCATCACTAAGGTCTGGAGGTCTGGAGGGAGGACAGGCTGTTTTTTTTTTTTTTTTACCTGTTGTGTGTCCTCTCGCTTTAAGCATATGTGCAAAACCGTGACGTTCTTTCCACAACAATTGCTCATCCACATTCACACAGTGATATCCCTGCTGACGACACCGCGTCATTTAAATCACTTCTTCGTGAAAGGTCATCCTCATTCTTTACTCTGAGAATACCCCCACCCCCCTCTCATACTACACAGTTATATGTGTGTGTGTGTGTGTGTGTGCAGGCAGCCCTTGATGTGTGGATGTGAATGAACGAGTGTGGGGAGCTGGAAACGCGTGGGCTGGCAGAATAGCATGTTTAAAAAGAGAAATCGTGGCTATTTTAGTCAACAGAGCGGAGTTAGAAAGGACAGAACGAGCTCTGAGGGGGGGTGTTTTGTGCACGGCTGGGGGGCAAGACTCCCCTGAGATTACTCCAGACGAGACAGTGAGAAGACACAGAGGAGGAGGAACGGCAGACAAGGAGGCAGATGGTCAGACGTACAGTTAATCAGGCAGGCAAACGTTCAGGCAGCAAGCATGTATATATATATACGAGGGGAAAATATACTGGAGTGGAGCTAATTAGCACTTTGATGCCTGATTGCCTGAGGAGAAGGGCTGTATGTCTGCGTGTACGTCTGCAAGGAATCAAAGCCGAGTCAGAGGGCTGATCACAGGAGGCGCAGTGAATGGAGGTGCAGGAGGAGAGCCAGATGAAAGAAGGAGACGCAGAGAAAAAAGGAGCGAGACCACCGTGATTGAGATCTGAAACTTTCTGGTCGGATCAATAATGCATTTCCTTTTAGTTCCCCCTCCCCTCCTCACATCGATACATCTCACACAGGAGACGCTGGATGATGCGCTCTTAATTGAACCGTCGCGTTAAATTGAAAAGTAAATACATTAAACAGATGGAGGACTGAAAAGATGTGAATGAAAGAGGAGGGTTTGTCTGTTTTTGGAAGCCTTTGAAGTGCTTTTTCATTAAAGAAACGCACGATTCGTCTCTTATCATTTTCTATCAGCAGTGATGTGCCTGCAGGAAAAATTAAAAAAAACACCTCTAATGTAGGAGTTAATAAATCCTGAGGTTAATCAAAGCTCCACTGGAGGCCTCTGGACATGGCTCCTCTGGGGCTTTTTCAAGCAGGAATAAACATGAGGCAAGGCTGCCATCTAGTGGCGCCACCGCGCAGCGACGCTGTGCACACAAGAGAAATATCGACAAAATGGAGCCCGGTGCTCGGCCATGACAATGCAGGTCAGAGGAGCTGCAACTGCCGCACACAATAGCGGAAGAAAGGTCAAAAATGCGCGCAGCGACGTGTTCTGCGCAAAATGCAGGCAGTGAATCGTGGTTAGAAGACCACTTAGAGCTGCTGTGAGGTGAAAACCAGAGGCCCTGCTGCAGCCGCATCAGCAAATCCTGCAAAAATGTCCAGTTTATAAGGAGCATTGTAATCATTTTCACTATATTATCAGTGAGGCGTCTCCCTGCTTGTGTTACCTCACAGCAAAGTGTGCATTTGGGCTTGAAAGAACACAGTAAACATGTTCACGTCTTTATGCTGTTAGTGCTGGAGGCAAAGCTCCCAGAAAGTCTCCTATTCATGCTGCCTAATAGACTCCATGCATTTTCTGGTCCCTTGTCCTTGCAGCGCTCTGCCATGAATTGATGCACGCAGCTTTGTATGTACAGACACAATATGGAGCTCGCTTTAAGTGATGCCACTAAAGTAAACCGCTGATATTTGGTTTCCGGGGTTGAGGTGAATGTGGGTCAAACCACACGCGCATGAGTTCATGTAGAGTTTAATACGAATGTGTGAAGCCTGAAGGGGAAGGAAGGAGCTGGATGGATTAAAAAAAAACAGCTGTCTGCTCTTTAGGATTGAATGCATAGATTAATGTGCGAAAAGGCTTCACTGAAGGCCTTCAGTCAGCTGTGGTGTGTAATGTCTGCGTTTTAGCGACTAAACAAGGATGAATTAGTGGGATGAAGAATGAAGAGGCGAATGTCCTCCTGGAGGATCATTCGGTGGTCCTCTGTGGTCCCTTTTGGGTCGGAGATTTGTGCAATAAATTACACCTCAGTTAACACATACAGACCTACAAAGAATATGGAGAATCTGAGGATATCTAGTGTGCAATTAGACAAAGCAGGTAGGAGGAACTACCTCGGTGAGCTGCTCTCAAAAGGAAATGTTCTCCGCAGCGAAATTGTATTACAGAGGTTTGTTTAATCAAAAGGTCATAGCAGCAGTTAGAATGCAGTTGTAGTTCTTATTAAAACCATCTGATTATACAGCCGCTTACACAGATAAACACAGACAAACTCGAGCGTGTAGTTAATAATGGAAATTGCAAAAAAAGAACCCGATTAAAGGCGGGTTTCTTTAAATTTCAATTTCAACACGGCTGCATTTTCACTTTATTCGCCGTTATGTGGAATTATTGGAAGAAACAAACTGGAGACACCGATTCGAGGAAAATTCCCAGGACTTCTTTTTATTAAGAGAATTTCAGAACATAAGAGAAGGGACCAGACACCTGCATTTGTCAGAGAAGGTTTCCAAATTCAATCGTTTTAAAAAAACCAGAGTGTTTAGAAAAGCCGACATGACAGCAGCGTGGATGGAGCAGGAGCTGTTTCTTTTTTTTTTTTTTTACAACGCAGGGTCGTCTAGGAGACAGGTCGGAGGCAATCGCTGTTCCCGGAATGTTTCACATGTTCGTCTTCCTCTTTCTTATGGACAACACGCTTCAACACGCTATTTTTTTTTTTGTTTGTTTGTTTAAAACACAATTTCAATGGAAAAAAAAAAAAAAAAAAAAAAACAAGACCATGAGACAGAAGCGAAAAAAAAAAAAAAAGGGAACTCACTGCACATTTAGAGATCTAAAAGAATCACCCACATTAACATGGCTGAACCGTTAATAAAACATGGATAAAGGCTGAGCTGTCGGGGAGGAAGAGGAGGAGGAGGAGGAGGAGGAGGAGGGAGGTCTAATCTGTGGAGGAAGAAGAAGAAGAAGAAGAAGAAGAGGAGGGGAGGAGGAAGAGCAAAGGGGAAGGAGGAAAAACACAGTAATACACAACTCACGACGTAGCCAATCCGGCAGGGACACGCTTTCTACACCAAAAACAAGCCTTCAACAATCATGAAATGCCATTTAAAAAAGATTTTAGTGTGTTCATCTTTGCTTGCAGACACTTTGATATGACCACTGCAAATCTGCAAGGCGCTCCATAATCAGCTTTGCTTTTTGTGCTAAAAATCTGTACGGATACTTATAAAATCATTGATAAAAATATTCCTCTGTTAACAATACGCCTTGGAGGGAAACCATGTGAGAGACTTGGGGAGGGGGGGGGAGGGGAAGGGGAAGGGGAAGGGGGAGACGGGGGGGGAGAGAGCTGGCTGGCTGGCTGGGTAGAGGGTGGGAGGTGGAAGGGGAAAGGGTAGGTTTTGGGGTTGGGGTTAGAGGGGGGGTGGGTTCGGGAGGAGTTTGTCGAGGAGGAGGAAGCTTGGGCAGTGGTGCTACTCGGACTTGGCCTCCTCCTTGGCCTCCTCGGGGGCTGCCTCCACCTGAAACACAAGAGCCAAGGTCAAGACTTGTTTTTGGTTTTTAACACCGTTTTGGTATCTCAACAGCTCCTTCAGAGGGTGAGGACTCTCCCCCGGTCGGTCGACTCACCTCGTTGGTCTTGGCCTCTCCGTTCTCAGAGTGGTTTTCTTCGTTCGCCTCTGCCTCGGCGTTCTCCTTTGCCTTCTTGGTCTTCTTGTCCTCCTTCTTGTCATTCACAGCCTTTTCTTTCTGTAAAGACAAAAAAAAAGAAACCATTAGCAAGCCGAGCATTCAATATTTACACTCGCATCCTCTCTGATTTAAGGCGTCTTACCTTTGCTGCCTTCTTGACCTTTGGTTCCGGCTTGGGTGGGGCCGGTTTCTGGGAAAAACAGAGCAGACAAAGGATCTAGAAACAGACTTTACAGACGTTTCCATGGATTTCTGAAGAGAGAAAACTACTTTTAAAGTCTAAAATCTTCCCTAAATGAAAACTTTTTTGAATAATGACACAAGCTAAGGCTTTGTGACCCCAATATCTCTCGCTAAATGGTTTAATTAAGGAATATTATGGTGCACGACAGCCTCTATTATGCTGTTGGCATTTAATTAGTATTACACAGTAAACAGATGTAAAACTGCTCTTAATGTCCAGCCCTGCAGTTTTTCACATATCTAAATCATGTTTTAATTGTGCAATGAGTCATTTATCAACTTTACGCTGCTACATGTTTGTTCTTAAGCCTAATTTCCTTAAAAAATCGCATGTTTTTAGCTTTATATTGTTAGGATTCAATGTTAATTGCAAAATTATGTAGTTCTCTGCTTCATTTAAGGCAGTAAACGGTTTTATTTACCTGTTTACACACGTGCTGCTACTTTTAATCATTTTCTCCCGTATTTTACATGTTCATTAACGGTGTATGTTAATGTAAATGAGATTAACGAGTGTGCAAGCGCCACTTCTTACCGCTGATAACCGAGCTGATCTCCTCTGGGGCTGAAACAGAGCAAAGATTGTTATCACAGGGAGTTTTTCATTTTGAAATAAGCATTTTAATTAAATATTTCTTCTTTATAAAAAAACACCCCCATCCTTTAAACTGATTAAAATTTAATTTTAATTATGAGGCGTTACCCAGCCTGCCCATCTCTTACCTCCTCTCCTGCGTCTCCCTGTTTAGGAAAAACACAAAGATAATAGGTTAAAATCAAAAAATGCAAAATTATTCATTAGGAGGAGTTTAACTGGAGTTTATAATGAAAGCAAAGTGCTGCCAAATGCTTCAGCTGTACATTTTGACTAATTGCAGACTTGCTGAAAAAACTTCTCAGTTTCAGGTGAAAACTAAAATTCCCTGCAAATACAGGTAGATTTCACGGATTTCTGCCCAGAAACGGAGGCCCAGCGCGCGGATTCGGCGGCGGGCCGTGCGTCCTGAGCCATGCGGGTCTCTGGAGCCACATTTTGAGGGTCCAGGCCCCGCGTTTCCCCCTCCACTCCCCCCTCCAGCTCTTTCTCTCATTCAATGCATGAAGCTTGGATTTGAAAGCTGGCGCGGGAGTCCTGGAGAAGGGGGAGGGACCTGCTCCGCGGCTCCGGTGCGCCACCAGGCGGCCGAGCGACGCCACCGCAGCCATTTGGGACCACGAACAAAGAGAGAAAATATATAATTTTACAGAAACGCGACGGCCAATGTTCGCTTTCGCGGTCAAAACGCAAAGTAAAGGCACTGAGGCAATTTTTGACGCCACTTTCGGCCGGTTCGGCGGCCGTGCGCCCGTTAAGCGGCGCGTTTGCTCTCGGTAGGTCGGCGACGAAGGTGGACAAGAGCTGCAAAGCATGGCTGCTGCTTGTGCTTTAACTGCATGGAGACCAGGAGAGAGACTTCTGACTCCCCCAAAGGACAGCGGCTCATGCAGGAAAACGCGTTTTTAAAGGCCGCGTCCGATCAGGAAAATATTGGTTCCAACAGGCAAAAAATGCACATTATATCTAGAAATTACGCAAAAATTCCCAGCGAGAAATAACGGCCGTACACTGCGTTATAATTAAGTAATGTCTCAGAGGGATGTCTTCTCAATCGTTTGCATTGCATTATTGGCAGATTTCCCCCTGAAAGAATTTTTATTATTTTCAGAATACGTACCTTTCTCTTGGGCATGTTGAGCTCTTGGAGGTTTTCTTACAAATACAAACTAAAAACAGTTTTTCTTAGTGCATGTGAAGACGAGTGTCTCCCTTATGCTCGGCAGTGTAGTAAACACACTGGAACAGAGAGGCGAGTGGTTGAATGGGGGGAGGGGTGCGGCTAAAGGCATGATTGATAGGCGCTCGGCCAATCCGGAGCCCCCATTCGGGGCTGCAGAACACTTGGAATTTGGGAGCCGGTGATGTTCTGGGGCGAATGGCTCCTTCTTTTTTGCGAGGCAGAGATGGGAGGAAGGCTGCAAGAGTGGAGGAGGAAAAAAAAAAAAAAAAAAAAAAGAAGGGGGCTTTTGCATTCGAGGACATGTTTGCTTTCATGCAAGTGTGACACAAACACGGAGACAGAAAAAAAAGGGGGAGAAAAGGGCAGGAGGGAGCCGGCCTTGTGCGCACTGTGGCACAGGCCCGCGGCGCACAGGCTCGCGTTGCCCAACGGTGCAAACGCGTAAAAAAAGACAAGAAGCGGGGCTCACATCTGCAGCGGTCAGCGAGGAGAAATTTCACCACTTCGAGTCCAATATGGCGCCCACTCCTCTCCCGACACATTTTTTTTTTTGTTTGTCAGTCGGCTTTCCCTAAATTCGTTTCAGGGTTAAAAAAAAAAAAAAAAAAAAAATCTGCCCCAGACGCCTGCAGGGGGCCCACAAAGCCCGTCTAACGAACCGGCAGCGGCTGCTCAGGACTTCCAGAGGCTGTGCTGTTACACAAAAGTGCTCAAAAACAATCACAGCACATTTGTTATTTTTATTTTTTTTTTGTACATGCATCCTTTTTTTTTTTATTTCCCTCCATCAGCTCACTGAGTAGCGGTTTTTTTTTTTCCTAAAGCAGAAAACACCTGCAGCGGTTCTTGCGGAACAATAGGCAGCGTCTGGCTCGCGTTTGCCAGACAAAGGGGGTCGATGCTGAAATATTCAGACAATATAACCCCGTTGTGTTGCCATCTTACGTGTGCGCGCGCGTGTGTGTGTGTGTGTGTGTGAGGGAGGGAGAGAGAGAGAGAGAGAGAGAGAGAGAGGCTAGAAGGGGCGGGGAGGCGAGAGTGGAGGCGGAGGAGGAATGCAAAGCTCCATCCAGTGCTGAGAACAGGAGCATTTGCGCAGATAGTCTGCGCTGGGGCGACAACACACGCACCGTATTTCATCCCCTTGGAAGTTCGCTGCTTTGCTCCCGCTGCTGAGAGCCACCCAGCCTGCGAAAGTGTGTGTGTGTGTGCAAAAAAGGAGCAAGGGCGACCGAACCGCCGCATCAGGGATCCACCATGGTGATCAAAGTGTACATAGCAACGTCCTCTGGATCCACTTCGGTAAGAGATTAAACAATAGCATGCGTTAGTTTGGGCTTTTTTTTTTTGGAGCTGGATTAATTGTGCAGCATCCAGGGCTGGGTTTTAGGCAACAGAAGCAAAAAAAAAAAAAAAAAGGCAAGCTGAACTTTTAATGAACTCACTGACTGATGTCCATCCTCTGTCATCCTCTCAGTCTGGAGTGGCCTGACTCATCAGGAAGCATCTGCCCTCCTTAATAAGACTTTTTGGACGCAGCTCTCTGTGTGTTGTTCATCTCTTTCTTTAACTTTGCAGCAGAGAGGAAGTTTCTGTCTCAGCTGCGGTTTGTCACTGTGCTTCCTCAAGTGGTGACAGTTGAGTTTTTTTTTGTGTGTGCAGTTTGAAACAAACAGGAAAGGTATGCAAGAGAGGGGGAGCCAAAAAAAAAAAAAAAAAAAATCAATAAATGAACCTAAAAGGCTCTGCTGTGTCACCTGATGCCAGAGCAGGAAGTCTGTGTGCTCGATAACTGATCTGATTTGCTCCAGAGTGCAGGTTTTTACTTCATGTTCCCTTCAGCCTGGAGGTCCTTAAGCTTCAGACTTGCCAGTTTCTTCCAGAGTGCAGAGGAATGATGGTGATGCAATTCTCCAGGGCCCCTTTTTAGACATGCAGCTGCAGCCCAGGAACACTTACGCAGTGTTTAGGACCTGCTGATGGTCTGAATCAACCTATACTTACTACACTTACAAGCTCATTAAACCTTGAATTCAGGCCATGCTGTCATATTTTTTTGTTGTAGTCAGACATATTTGTGCGTTCTGCTGTTGCACAATCTGCGACGCAAACTGTTCCCAGCATCCGCTCTTTGTTTTAATATCGCAGTTTGTTTTTTTTAATGAGCTCTGAAAGATAAATTCTGTTTCATAAAAGTGTCTTAACTTAAAGCGACCTGTCATGTGATGTGGTTCAGATCCCCTTTAGGATGATTTACCCTCACTGAGCAGTTTGTTTTCACAGCTCGCGTCCAGAGGAAGCAATCAAGCACAGAGGCCCTTTTCAGTCAGACAGCTCTGAGTGACTTTATTGCCCTTTACAGTAAATGACATTTGCAAAGGCTCAGCAGCAGCAGCATCATCAACAGCAGACTAACAGTGCAGGAGCTTCTAGTCGAGGCAAAGTGGAGTGAGTTTAGAGCTAGCGAGGCTTTCTGGGAAAATGCATTACCCCTCATTATTGATTTGTCTTTAGTAAAGTCTTGTAGAACAAGCGGACACGCTCCTGCACTCTTGTACTGCGCGGACACTTCCTTATTCTCATGTTGTCATCTCCATTCTGCACCAGTTTACACTCCTCAGCAGCAGCACCTCCGGCCAAAGTCGAGTTTTGTCAACACCCATCATGATTTCTTTCATTTAGAGGACATGCCGCCACATTAAAGACATCTGATTTGCACGCTATTTTAAAATGCAATGCCAAGCTGCCGGGTTGCAAATTGTGGTCGAAGCCCTCATCCTGCCTTCTGCCCTTGCAGTTCGATTGCATCAGAGTCTCCAGAACAATGCGTTCCGCTAACCAGCAGCATTAATCACTCCGATCTAACTCAGCAACAAGCCAAAATCTGGGAGACAAGTAGGAGGATTTCCAAAATAACTTTTTAAAGCTCCTGCTCCACCGATTGCAGATCAGGGAGGCAGACTGTAAAGTCAGCCAGAGGGATGTATCAGACTCAGCAACTGACAAGATACAACTGTCAGCATGATCCAGATGGGTTTTTATTTCTCCCAAAGACATTAAGTTCTAGACAGCGTTTGAGGAATTTAATATTTTTCGGTGCAGCAAGAAAGTAATAAAAAAATAGTTGTAATGGATTCTTTTATTGGACAGAATGTGTGTTTGATTTTTATTTCGGAGAGGCACTGGAGGGCAATGATAGATAATGAAGCGCTTAAGTGAGTTGTGTCAACATACTTGTTCCCATCTGCAAGTATGGTAAACACATTAGGCTGGGTGTGTTCGTGCCCACTGGTTTACTGCAGCCTGACACAATAGGCCCAGAGTAAATGTTGTCTTTGTGAGCTGTGGGGGAGAACAACTTGTGTGCTTAATATCACACTATTTAACGAGACACCGCGAGCTACAGTTTAACATCCTGTGATTTGGAATCAACAGGAACATAAGAAAGAAAAGATGGTATATTAGTGGATGCATATGTAACAGTTCTGCTTCCTAGAGGGGGTTAAACTGCTCGAGCAAACCACTGATTGGCAGCTCATTCCACTCCTGACCTCTGCTCCGTGCAGCATGCAGGTTTGCATCCCTTTCAAACTGAATGGAGAGCTGACTTCATTCCACCCAGTAATAATGAGAAGCAGAGCGTTCGAATAACCGGAAGAAATAGTGAATCCTCTTGAGACACTTCTACTGTTACCACCACTGAACATTGGGCCATCCTACCAACCGGTGTCCTCACGTAAACCCAATAAAAGCTTCTGGTATTCTACATTCCTCCTGGATTTGCATGCGTTTTACCTGTGAGAGATTACTCCAGTGAATGCTGAAGTTACACTGAGGCAAAGTTTGACAACCAAACGAGGCTTCTTTTTCTTACATACACACATGTAAATGCACACGCACGCCTGCAGCCGTGTGTCTAGACTGTGGACCACAACTGAAGCTACGTCTTCTACGGCACATTTCCTCCCTCTGTTCCATTTATGCATCGCAGACTCGCTGTAGTACAGTTTCCTCATTGCCACAATAAATGAACCCGGCAGTGTGCCTATCCTCGCCTCATTCTCTCTGCCTCTGAATGTCGGCTTTACCGCGCTTTTTCTCCCCAGCAGGTTGGACGTCAGGGTCCATAGGTCAGGCTCGATGTGGACGGCTGGCTTCAGTGAGTCAGTTGGTTTTATGTAAGAGCTAATTTCTCTGACCTTTTGTTGTTGTTTCACCTTTAGGCAGCAGTGAGAGAATCCAGCCAGAGTGGCAGCGTAAGGCTCTTTTGTAACCATGTTGTAATGCTGACTGAGCTCAGGACTGGGTGGAGGCTACCGCTGCTGGTAAAATTCCAGCAAGCGACTGTTTTCAGCAGAAATCAGACTTGATCTAATCAAGGCAAAAACCTTTATCCCTTACGAACACACAGGGGCCGGGGCTTGATTCGCGTTTCCTCCGGTGCACAGAGTGGATTTTTCCTGCGTTCAAATGTTATTCTTCAGAGGAATTAGAAAAGGTCGTTCAGGCTTATCTGCGGAGAACATTCGGCAAATTTGGGTTAAATGTATTTTCCTTGCCGTCTGATTGAATTGAACATGAACTGACCCCAACCTTGTGTCGGCACAACAGACTCCAGCATATTGATCTCCGCCTGTGTTGTTGGATACAGTCCTTCCGATCAATGCCTGCCATTGTCTGGCAGCTATTAACGCCAGAGTTCTGACCTTTCACTGGGATTGATCAGGTCTGGTTCTGATCTCATCGGCCCGCCGCAACTCTCACACGACGAAGTGGAATGTAAACCAAAGTGCGTATGGTGCGGATTCCTTCTCCTGCAGCTGCGGTAGACTCAGATCCTAGTTAGACAAAAATAATGATCCGTGCAATGATATATGTTCCGCTGCAACTTGAGAGGCTTCTGATTCGCTGGAACTAACTCGGGATTGTGGCTGTTGAGTGAATCAGAAGCTTTGTATGTGCAGTCCTCAAACCAAATGCAGTTCCAGAATAACTTCATATCATCTGATGGCTGCTCCAGTTCTTCCATGGGTGTGTCCATAAGCTGTCTTGACAATGTGATACCACATGAGTCGGGCCTGTGTCAAATAGTGTTTGCCGGGGGATTCTCAGTGTTTGTTTTAAGCTTTTTTCTGTAAGCTGAGAGCAGTAAAATCAAAAGATTGAAAATCAGCTTAGTAAGTCAGTAGTTAGTAAGCCTGCGTGAGTGACAGTTTACCTGGAAACCTTTTCCTGATCCTCATTTCTTACTCAAGACTAAAGGTCTTTGTGGACGTGCACCACAGACACATAAATGTTCTGAACTATTGCACTTTGTAGTCCATTTTGAGTCCACTTTGAAGATGTTTTCTATGTGTGCAGTGTATCTGCATCTACATATTCTGCACGTACACAGTACTGCCTTTGTAGTGAAGTGGATGCATGTGTCCATGGTCATGCATATTTTGGATCACACAGCGGCCTGTGCAGACTCTTGCTGACTTGTGCAGAAGGCAAAATTTATGCTCCCCCGACCCCAGTGTACTCGGACATGTGGATGGCATCACACTCGCCTTACACTAATTTTCCGAACTGCTTTGTTAGGTGTTGATAATGCCACATAGTTTACAGACTACATCCCTCGTGTTCGGTGCAAAGACTGGCACTTCCTTCTTTCATGGATGGAAACTTCTTCATTGCAGTGATAACAGAGAAGCTTTTCACTGTTTTTTTTTACCGTTTAGTTTTTTGAGGTACGCACATGGAGCATTACTACGACCAGTAACGCATGCCGAGAGCAAAGTGAGGAGGTTGATCTGCCAGGACGGCATCTAGAATGTGAAGCCCTGTGCATGAACTCTATACGTTGCACAGCTCGCGGTGTTAAACTTCTCTGAGTTTATTCATATTTATATATTTACATAATTTTGCCGGGAGCATAGTCAAGCAGCTGAACGGCCTGTTAGCTAATTTGTTTTTCTCTCTCCGAAATCCACCGCAAACATTTTTTAACGAGGTCGAAACCGTGGATGGAAGAGTCTCCTATAGGAATGAATGGAGTTCTGCTTGACTGGAATACAAACACAGGCTTATGTGGAAATGAGGCTCTTCCTACTCTCTCGTCTGTTCCGAGTCCACTCAGAGGACGTGTTCCTTACATACACAGTAGGTCAGTGTTTGTTAGGCATTCTGCACACGCACGCTATGAATCAAATCCAAATGGCACATTTTGTTTCCAGGACATGCACAGTTGGTGACCTCGATGCAAAGTGGCCATATGGTCACAAAACAATTATACATGCAGATTTTTTAATCTTGTTCTTAATCC